AGGAAAAAGTATGTGAACCCTTTTGAATTACCTCAGTTTCTGAATAAATTGGTCACAAAATGTGATCTGATCTTCATCTAAGTCACAACAATGGACAAACACAGTCTGCTTAAACTAATACCACACAAACAATTATATGTTTTTGCTGAACATACCATGTCAACATTCACAGTGCCGAGTGGAAAAAGTATGTGAACCCCTGGGCTAATGACTTCTCTAAAAGCTAATTGGAGTCAGGAGTCAGCCAACCTGGAGTCCAATCAATGAGATGAGATTGGAGGTGTTGGTTAGAGCTGCCCGCCCTATAAAAACACACAAATTCCCATGAAGCTTTGGCTGATGTGAACTATGCCTCCACCAAAAGAGCTCTCAGAAGACTGAAGATTAAGAATTGTTGACTTACATGAAGCTGGAAAGGGTTGCAAAAATATCTCTGAAAGCCTTGATGTTCATCAGTCCATGGTAAGAGCACTGTTGGTACTCACCCTAGGAGTTGCGTCCTGCAAGACTTACAGAAATCTCTGGAACATGCTAACATCACTGTTGATGACTCTACGATACGTCGAACACTGAACAAGAATGGAGCTCATGGGAGGACACCACGGAGTAAGCCACTGCTGTCAAAACAAAACACATTGTTGTCTTAAGTTTGTGAAAGAGCACCTGGATGTTCCACAGCACTTCTGGCAAAATATACCATGGACAGATGAAAGTCAGATCAAAGTTGAGTTGTCTGGAAGGAACAAAAAACCCTATGTGGAGGAAAAAAGGCATAGCACAACAACATCAAAACCTCATCCTAACTGTGAAATAAGGAGGCAGGCATGAGGAGTCAGAAAGTAGGTTTCCAAAAAATATACGTTTTTATTTACAAAACACTTTTATGGGCCCATAAAAGAGGTCAACTAAACAGAACTTAACTCAGGTTACATAACCTTAACATAAGCTGAAGAAAATACACCTAGACTAATTAAACAGACCTAACAAGACTGAGACATGGGGGAAACTTAGTGGTTGATCAGGCCATTTTGACAAAGGGGTAGACATACACATAATATATAAACCACAATAACTACAACAAATTTCAAGACAGTTCTACCTAATATGAACTAATGGTAAATCAATCAAATAATTATAACAACAAAAGTAGAACTAGCAAAGAAAAGAAAACAGCTCTGGGGCAGCTCTGGCTGAAAAGCTGGGGATAAATCGGTGATGAAAACCTGCCACCCCCAGGAAGGACCTCAGATGCTTCCTGGTTTGAGGCAGGGGGCAGGACTCCAGTGCATGTACCTTGTGAACTTGTGGTTTGATCACTCCATTTCCAATAATGAAACCCAGATACTCACTTTGCAGGGTTAATAGTCATGCCCGATGATTGCAGGCGCTCCAGCCCTTCCCTCAGGTGCTTGAGATGCTCCTCCCAAGTAGCACTGTAAATCACAATGTCATCAAGGTATGCACAGGCATAGTCATCACATCCAAACATACCTGATCCATGAGCCTTTGAAAGTCGCAGGGGCACCATGCAGTCCAAATGGCAACACTGAAAACTGGTAAAGTCCCCACGGGGTCCGAAAAGCAGTCAACTCCCTGGATTTCTCAGTCAGAGGTACTTGCCAGTAACCCTTGCACAGGTCAATGGTGGTCAGGTATCTTGCTTTGCCCAGGCGCTCAATCATGTCATCAATATGTGGCGTTGGAGAGCAATCAAACTTTGACACAGAGTTCATATATCTGACATCAATACAAAACCGTATTGTAGCATCCTTTTTTGGAACCAACACCACTGGATTACACCACTCACTTTTTGAGCTCTCAATAATCCCCAGAGACAGCATCAGGTCCACTTCTTTTTTCAGGGACACCAGGATCCCGGGATCCTGTAACTCAGTCGTTTAACTGGAGCCTCCTCTTTTAACACGATATCATGCTCCATCATATTTGTCTGACCTGGGTACTCTTGAAATATTTGAGGATTACATAAAGCTTTGGCAGACAGGACCAACAATATCCATACCAAGATGCTCAAAGGGAGTACTAACAATGGGGAAGGGTTGGAGTGGAGCTCTTCATGGTCTTCTGGCACTGAGGGCAAGTCCTACAAAACTGCACAACATCTGCCCGCAAACCAGGCCAGTGAAAGTACTGTCTAACGTGAGCTAGGGTCTTTGGCTTCCCTAGGTGGCCAGCCCAGGGAACAGAGTGGCCCAAGAGAAGTATGGTGTCTCGGGCCACTTTGGGAACCATGGTTCATGATAGAGAATACCATTCTGCAGGAAATACTCCTTCCCAGAACTGTACTCAAACTCACTCCCCGCCCCTTTCTCTTTAGCACTACACAATAATGTCACTAGGCTGGGGTCATCGTGTTGCATCTGAACAATGTCTGGACGTATCTGAAAACCTAGTGGCAAGTCCGGAGCTACTGCAACTGGGGATTTTATGACAGTGTGCTGGAACCTCTCCTGCCTCTTTGCCTGCGTGATTTCCGGGGCTTCCCTGGTTGAGTGTTTAGGTCTGCATCAAAAAGGCAGGGCACTGAGGGTAACAGAGGGTGGTGCAGATCTACCAGCTTGGACTGGGCTCTGGTTACGGCAACATTGCAACTTTGAGGTTGCTTTAACAAATCAAACAAGACTGGCAGGTCACTACCCAGCACTAATGGGAAAGGAAGGTTGTCAGTAACGCCAATGTTCAACAGGTAGGGTTGTCCTTACACTTCAATGTAAACATCAGCAGTGGGGTAAGGTTTCTTATCACCATGTACACAGCAGATGGGAATGGTTTCAATGTTGCGGATAACATTAGATAGTAAAAACTGCCTGTGCACCAGGGTCTGATCACTGCCAGAGTCAATTAGGACCTTCAGAGCTTTACCATTAACCCTGACTAGTGCGGCCATCACAAGGGGAATCATGGTTTGGGCTGCTTTGCTGCCTCAGGGCCTGGAAGGGTTGCTATCATTGATGGAAAAATTAATTCCGAAGATTATCAAGAAATTTTGCAGGAGAATGTAAGGCCATCTGTCCGCCAGTTCAAAGTGTTTGGTTGAGGTTATTGCTGCCAACTAGTTATTTAATCCAAGGGTTTACATTCTTTTTCCACCCTGCACTGTGAATGTTTACACTGTGTGTTCAATAAAACATGAAACATTGTTTGTGTCGTATTAGTTTAGGCAGACTGTGTTTGTCTATTGTTGTGACTTAGATGAAGAATTTATGCAAAAATTCATGTAATTCCAAAAGGTTCACATACAGTACTTTTTTTCCCTGCAACTGTATAATTAAAAGTATTATTAACATTAACAAACTGTCGGTGTGCTGGTATTTTAAGTTTGATGGGCCACTAATGTGTGTTCCAAGTGTTGTAGGACAGAGTTTTAACCTGTTTATTACACCTGGCAAAGAGCTGTCATCACTTTTGGCTGAATTTTGTTAGTTCAGGGAATGAATCCTAATCAAGTGGGTGCATTCACCACATCAAAAGTGATGGAAGAAGTACTGAGATCTTTTTATTAAATAAAGTTATATATATATATTTATAAAATAAAAGTACTCATTATGCAAAATTGCCCACATGTTTATTATATATCAAGACAAATATAAATATATTTATAGTTTTTTTTTACTGGATGATTTTCATTGAATCATTTACGTATACATGTAAGCAGCAGTTTAATACTGTCAAGGTACAGCTATTGTAAGTTTATCAACTTATGCTGTAGTTGAATCTATAATAATGCACATTCTCTAAACTGTTTCACTTATAAAATATTGATCTGAAAAGTAACTATTAACTACAACTGACAATTGTAAGTGCAATATTTCCCTCTGAAATGTAGAGGACCATAAGTACTTTGTTACATTCTCCACTGTTGGGACTCCATAAATGGGTCCATGGAGAAATTTGAATGGTCAATGGATGATGACAAACAATGAAAAAGAAAAAACGAAAAACAATAGTTTTCCATTGTTAGACAAATATTCTCTAGATTAACTGTCATTTTTGCTTTTTTCTTGTAAAAATTCTAGATACTTTCACCTAATCTAAAAACAACCTGAGACTACGGTCCACAAGTTGACATTGCTTTATTTTAAAGGGTCACAAGTCAGAAAGACTGGGAAAAACCGTACTAGACCAACCTAATGCTTCTCACTGTGACGTCAGAGGAAAACATTACTGGCAATGAAGATACCACAAGTGTTGTTAACTAATAGCAAACACATCTGCCGTTTTTGTGGTTTAAAAGACAAATTTCCACATTGTGGACAATAAAGACTATTGTGTATTTTATTGTATAAGTTAGCACTTAATTATCAATATACAGTATTTGAGATTCTCTCAGGGATTAAAACAAAGCATATTGAGGAACTTCGTCTGAGAGTTTAGGTTTTGATTACTGTACATACAGTAGTAAGTAGTAATTCTGAATAGCCATAGCCATAGCCATTACCTCATTTACATTAGTTTAATGGCTTTGTAGTTGTTCACCTCCATAGGTGCACCAACATGAAGGACAGAGAAAGCAGGTGAGAGATGTGAGAACACAACACAAAATCTACATGTGTCTTGGCATGTTACAGAGGAAATACCATGCATACCCTATCTCGTTCTAGAGAACAGGCAACAGACAACTTAGTTCAAAATGTTAGGAAAGTTTCTTCTAAAAGCCACACTCTCACCTAACTGTTTAGGGAAACAACATAAACCTCTGAGCAGATTTACCACTGTTGTTTATTGGTCAAATAGAAACAACAGGTTTCTGTTCTCTACCAAAAAGGTACAGGGTCAGGTGCTTAGGGCATATGGTACAGGTCTGGCTAAGTGCAATACATCGTATATAGAAAACTTTGTACAGTTTCAATAGAGACTTCAGAAAAAACTTTGATAATGTTCCTGTTCAATTTTAAAAATCAGGAAAAAGCTGCTGATTGTAGCTGTGAAAAAAATGAAAATCCAATATTCAGCTAAAGGACACATGAGGTAGTGACAAAAAAAACCTTTTAAATCTCATTTTATTTGTTCACTTATCATTAGGAATAGTTACATATTACAAACACCTTGATACAATATTATATAAATATATAAAAAGCTTTTAAGTAAATCGAGATGTCCAGTTTTGGGATTGTGTTTCTTCTGTTATGCTCATTGTTTGTTTTTACGATGTCTGTTGTTTTTCTTCTTCTTGTTCTTCAGTCTGCGATGGAAAAATGGACATTTGTGTGAAATAACTCCCAATTTTACTCCAAGCAAGCTAGTAAAATATATTCATAACAGAAGTTACAACCACGTCTACATAGTGTGAATTCCTGAGATCTAGCCTGATGCTGTCAAGAAGGTATCTCCCACTTTTCCAGGGGGAGGCACTGACCTTATGTGGCTCCACTCGCTCCACGGTGAGTTACAGAGAGCATCCTTGGCTCGGACACAGACGGCCTTAGTCTTGCGCTTGACTTCAAACTGACAAATGTCTGTAGAGTGGACTGTCAAGATCTAAGAAGTAAAAAAAAAGACATCAAGTCATGCAACATTTACTCTTTCTTTCGATTTGTGTGCGCAGTTCTTTTATGGCTTGTGGGATTTCCTGTCATTTGTCTGAACTTTTGTTATTATTTTCACTCTGCTTTAGTTCTTTAAATACAAATTACAAGGTGCATGGCAATCAATAGGGTCCTCTTACCTTTGTGGCTTTTGAGTCAGTGCACGGGTTGTCACACTTTTCACATCCCTTCTTCAGCTGTGCAATCTGGAAAGTGAGGGGGAAGTAGGAGAAGGGACTGCTCCAGGATCTTGGGTAACTCCACTCTATCATCGTAGTGTTGACTGTACTGATCATCACCTTGTCAGGTTTCACTATCGAGTGTGAAAGCAAAAGACAGGGCGGAATGAAAACAAAGACAGGAGGAGAAAGACAAGAAAAACAAGTACATGGAAGTACGGAGTTATGTACAGGAAAAGAAATCTGTCTCCCGGAGATGTCTCACCTATCTCTGACAGGTAAAAGTGTTTCGAGTAGTTTTCCACTAGGAAGTGCTCAGTTTCACGTAGACACTGATGTGGATCTGTTGACTCTCCTCAGTATAGGGGCAGTGCTGCTTGTCCAAGCACAAGATCCTGTGTCCGCTGTCGTCCACTGAACAGCCAAAGTGTCTCTGACCTGAAGAGCATGTCCAACGCTGACCACTGGTATCCACAGAGCACTGAATGTCATTGCTGTCAGTGACACTGCAAAATAATAATAATTTTTTTTTTTTTATTGACACGACACACTGATTTTGTGGAGGGTTTTTTCATGGCAAGAAGCTGTAACAACTTCTCATGGACAAAAAGCTGAAGGAGCAGATGCTGATTAAAGTATTACATAGTATAAAGTAGAACCTATCGTTCAGGAGCATTTACAGCTGTATTATTGTTAAATAAAAACTGATCCAAAAAAGCACTTTGTTATGTTTCCTCTCATAAGGAGGCATTTATGGGCGTCGCTGTGTAGTCTCAGCTCTGACATGGCTCCGAGCACTGTGTTATTACTGGAGAGCGAAACAGAAAACATTTCAGCAGTTTGTGAGCTTACCGTCGAGCTTTGATGAATGCTACTTTGCCAACACGTCTGCTGTGCCAGGTCCAAGAGCAGTGGAACTCTCCGTTGTAATTTTGAGCCGAGCACTTTAAATAATCTTCTAATGAGATAACGGCACGTAAACATGCAGAGATGGGAACACAACAAACAGACAAGACCCAATTTGTCAGTGGAAATTTCTAGCTGTTCTATTCAGTGCAAAGTTTTTAATTAGATCATACCTTGGTCAGATTTCACAAGAATCTTCCTCCTCTTAGTTTCTTCCTCTTGGATCAGGATCACAGTATGATTGAGGAGTGATCCGTCCTCGCTGTGGCAGGTGTAGTTGCCCCCTCCTAAGCTTTCCTCCAGCTGCACCAGATATGAGTTTCCTCTCTGCGCTTCCTGTACTCCATTCTTCCTCCAAAAAATATCCTGACTCTTAATGTCTCTCCTCGTAAGCTCCTCTGGCGACTCCAGGCAGCTCAGGGGCTGCTGGCCCAAAGTGCCGTCCACCTCCACAACCAAAGCTAACATGAGGACACACAGGAAGAGGTTATGGATGAACTGTTTAAACTTGGATTGATAAGTGTGTTTTCATGGAGATCAAACATACTGTGGGGCAGCAGAGTCCAGTGGCTTGTAGGATTTTGGCAACTGACTTGCAGAAACGCACACACAATGCCGAAAACAAATAACTTCATCTGAATAACAAAGAGAAGACAGAGAGCAAGAAAGTGAGGTGGCGGAAGTGATGTGAAGAGGGCAAATAAAGAAACAGAGAGAAAGATCAAATGACCAAAATCAGTACTCTTGCACATAACATATTGAGTTAATAACACAAAGCCATAAAAATGCACTTGTAATTAGTCAATACAATCATTTACGTGCATAAATTCAAAATCATGGAAATTACTCGAAATAACAGTACATTAATAAACAAAAAACAAAATAAAAGCAACACAACTCAAAAACCAATTGAGAAGTGGAAAACCACAGCTCACAGAATGAATATACCTACTTTACAAATTCACACAGATTTCCATTTAAATAGTGAAGATCAACACACATGTTAAACTCAGAGTAACAAAGAACCACTAGCGATGTTCTTATCCATGAAAACCCAAAACAAACCAACGCCAAAAATGTAGCATAAAGTTTCATCCGCATGCAACCACATCCGGAAAAATAAATAAATCAAAAAACTGCATGTATGCCTCCAGAAAAGAAAAACAAATCGAAATATTCAGTACTTGTTTATATAGACCTAACTTACATCAAATGTCCATCCCCAGAGCATACTAAAGTAGAACCAGCTAGTTAGCAACATAAGTCATAATACCTAGTTTACTATATACGTGTTATTTACATTAAAATTCATTCATTTTAAACCTGCAGTTAAAAACTGTTTTAATTCCAACTTTTTTGTATAAACAAAGTAATAGCCAAGGGTTATTAGTTGCGCCGATAAGCTACTCATGTAGACTAGAGTATAAAATGAAAACACGGAGCGGTGTCAGATCCAAGCCGGCAGCAACTTCATCGTCTTTTATTTACACCAGACTGTAGTTAAGGATTTACACAGAGTGCCCGCAGCAGCCCATCATAGATTCACTACATCCGTTTTCCATTTTATTACTTCATAATAAAAGCCCATACCTTGCGAAAAGCGCTTAACAGTAGGCACTCAAACTCACTCAGAGCATGTCGCCAAAAGGCAATTCAACAAAATATCGTACAAACAAATCAGCCCAAAGTCATCTTACCTTTACATTTATTTCCAGAATTAATGGCGACCCTACGATTGAGAGCGCCTTTTATGTGAGTGACTGGCATTTAAGTATTTCCCCAAATCGCCTCGTACATTCGTCCAAAAAGTCCAACTTCGCTTTCTATTTGTTTACATGAAAAGAGGTATTCATAATCCTCTTTAACTCACTTCCACCATGAGCCTCGCTGGCTGGTATCATGTTACATGACATTACTTTCACGAAATCACCTGGTCAATATTACAGAGATGCTATGAAAGATTTAAATAAAGGTGATATTGGGCCTTCTATTATAATAGGCATTATTTGGGTTGAATTGGAGGAAATTATTAGATTTGAAAAGGGAAAAAAACTACTTTTACCTTAAAAGTTCAGCGTTTTGAAATACAGTGGGACTTAAAGTTAAATGGCTTGAGCCCACCAGCAGCAACAGCAAAAAACTTCCGGCCCCAAATCCTTCACAATAAAAGGGTATTATCTACAAATGCTGGTGATAACTGAACGCAAAACACTTTAATTTGTCACAAAACTGCACGGCGAAAACATTTTTTTAAATCTCAATACTTTATACTCACACTATTATTCAATCTGTAAACCTATTGGAAAGAAACTACAGCCACGTAAAAGTGAGTCATGCTGACATTTTGAGACGAAAGTGTCCACTGTCATTGTTATGTGCAAATGTCAAAACACTCCTCGTAGCTCGTGACCTGTTGCCACTATTTACTAAGTCACTACTGTATTGACTTGTAAGCCTATGCAGCCTCGTATTTTCATTATGAAAACTAAAACCTAAAACCAGAACCTGTGTTAGTTAAAATTCCAATTTCTATTTTTTATTCCAAAGGATTTTAACAGCTGATGTCCAGGATCAAATACTACATATCTTTGGCATTCTGTAATATTTACTTAACAAGGAGGAGGAACAATATTTGGGATAGCATCCTATAATATCATAATATGTTATGAATCCTTGTAGTATCACAATGATGTCACAAAGACAAGTTAATCTGCATTCCATTTAGTAGTATGCACAGGTTTAGCAACCCTCAATTCTATGTCGTGTTTATTTACAGCTACAGAAAACTCTGTCTTGAAAGTCATCATAGAAAGCAATCAATACAGTAACAAAATAAATCACAAGAGAACAGGCTTTGTATTACGTTTATGGAAACCGTAACAACCCAGTGTCCCAGCACTATCATCCTTAGAGCATCACTGAGAAACAAAACTTCAATGTGAAACTAGGGAAGGGGAAGAAGATAAAATAAGCTTGCCAGGTCAAAGAAGGTGTCACATCCGGAAGGTTGATAATAGACAGATATGGGGCAATGAGACTGAGATATTAACAATGAAAAGAAACATGAGCATGTCAGAAGATGGGACTTGGCGCAACCAGGTGAACAGACAAAGGACTGGATTCCTCAAGGCTCATTCCTTTATAATGTTAGGCCAACGACCATGCCACAATGAGAGATTATTGCTCATACACATTGCAAAAGTAGTTGAACCAAGCAACAAAATGCATACACGCACAAACTACAGTTTGAGGAAATAAGTAAATGATTGCAGTGATGTGGATACTAAACTTAGTAACTAAAAATTGAAAAGTATTGTCACAAATGTCACTTTATCAACTGTGAAGGCATTGCTTTCTTTTAGTTATTCTTTCTTTGTGCATTGACAAATTCGAATGAACCAAGTTTTGAGTTACCCAGATTTCCCTAAGCACTGTTTCGTTTGTGCCCGGTTGTTAAATCAGGTTTTGAGGGATCAAAGTTCTGTAAAAGTTTTATGGGTCTCTCTCTGTACTTTACTGTTTAGTATCCATTGATTTGTTTAGACTCAACACACCTGTGACCTAGCAACAAAGTAAACACAAAGGAACATAATTACTGACCAGAATCTTTTCATAAAATGATCAAGGACGATTAAACTGAAAAAGATTTTTAAGTAAAACTATAGTATAGTGTATGTGATTTCAGGCCGTGTGATAAACATGCAGCGATGATATTTTTGGTCTCAGACTCATTCTGTTTGTGGTTGGTTATACATTGCAGAGCTCAAGCAGAACATGAACTTGTTATGGCTTTTATCTGCCTTCTGTTCCCTTTTGTAGCAAGTTGTAATGTGCATGTATACATGCTTTTTGGGTATGATACTCCTTAGGCACATTCACTAGGGTTTTTACTTGCTTATGGGAAAATCATGTCTTTTAGTTAAATATAATAATCTTACAGAGGACCATCTGATGCTTTGTGTATGACATCTGTGTGCCAGTCAGTCTATGAACAAATATAGGAATACCATTAAGGCAGTAGTGTACATGTCTAGAATAACACTTGATGTAGCTTGTCACTTGCATTCTTTTGTAAATATTAAAGGAGAACAATAATTTCCAACAGCCATGCAAACACTGATTGTTAATTAGCCTTACACTATTGCTAAGCAGCGCAGTCTTTGCATTTAATATGTATTAAAAGTGTACGCTAATGAATAAACCCTGATGTTCATGGTTGGGGTCCTGGACAGCCTGGGCCCTCTTTGACAGCTCAAAAACTACTTAGCAATTTAAGTTAGTTTTAGTTTTATCAGCTTGTTTATGACTTTTCCAAATTTAATAAAAGATAGCTCATAAAGATGATTTTGATCGGTTAACATGTTTCAGAAGTCCTATGCAGAAATAACACATTAGTTCTCTTTGGGGTCACATCAATACTTTTCTAAATACTCACATTATAAAGGTCACACGAAAAGAGAAACATAATGAAGAATGAAGGGAAAATATTTCGCTGTTACACATACAGCAGTGGAGTATGTGAAAGTCCAAACAATGAGGAAGTTAAGTCAGTGACATCAAAACACATGGATTAAATAATTTTTCTGAATTATTGAAAAATGTCATCTGTGTAGTGTTCATAAAGGACCACTAGATGTCACCAGAGGGTTACAGGTGTCTGCGTGCAAGATATTCTTTGGAGCAATTTCCATTTTAAATGGCAACCTGTCGAACCAGTTGAAGTAATAGTTCAAAAATCCCACATATTATATCCAATCTAAGCAATATTATTACATCACACATACTGTGGCACATGTGCATGTTTGCTTAGTACAGATTCTGATTTAATTGAGTGTGGCTGGTGTCCTTGCTCAAGTGTGATAACTCAATATTCTGCAGCTGTTGAGAATTACACGGCTGGGCGAGAGGCTCTGTACAGGCTTGTGGTCTGTGGCTCTGCACTGGAATGTCTTCCAGATGCCCCCAAAGCGTAACAGCTGGAATGAAATCAGTGCAATGATCTCATCTGTGAGAGGGGTGGAAAATAGGGAAACAAAAGGGGGAAAAAGAGAAGACAGTGATGATGTAATGTGTGTGTGGGATAGAGAAAGAAGGGGAGATGAGGAAAGGACTGGATAGAGGTACAGAAAGGTCAAGCCATATAAAGTGGTAGATTCCTGGCCCTGATCCACAGCTCCTTCTCTCTTATTAAAAAAGCCCTTTGTGATTCTGAGCCACAACAGATTTGTTTGTCTGTATGACAGACCCCTGTGGCATTTAATTTGTTTTGTAGTCTTTCTTAAAGCTTAGGTGGTGTACGTGTGTTTTTGCAAATCCTCTTTGGAATCTCTTAAGAATTTGTGTCTAAAAAGAGAGACTGAATTTGTATGCAGCCTCATGGAACTTTCTCTGACTGGGAATGTCACATACTGTCCTGCAGTTCCTGCTTATCACGTACCTCTTAGCAGAGAACCACTTGTTAATACAAAATCAGATAATAACTGTCAAACTGTCAAGTGAGGACTTTCCAGGATGGTGAATTAGTCCGAAAGCCTTCATTCTTCCTGTATTCTGATCCCACAGAGGGGACACGTAGAGGCTCAGATTTAAGCTCAGTGTTTCAAGTTATGTTCCCTTATGACGTACGTGCTGATGTGCCTTGTCAGTGCAAGCGTCACTTACTCACATACATAGATGCATTTGAATGTAATGTGATGCTTAGCTTAGAGAGAAAAAAGCAAACAAACTACAGTCAGTGACTATGAATCTTTGAACTACACTGAATGAGGTGATCTGAATCAGCAATGTGATTCTAGATTTCAGTGTCTGATGCTAACATACTCACAATGAAAATGCTGATTTTTAACAGGTTTTTCACTGTGCTAATTAGCACTAAATACAAAGTACAGTTGCGGATTATTAGAATGTTAAGAGCTCTGAATTTAGTCATAAACCAAAGTATTGGAGAAATTGACATTTTGACCTCATGGTGGTGACAGGAAAAATCAGGGATCACCGATTAGTAGGATTCATCCTCTGGGAAACACAAATATCAGTTCATGAAATATTTCAGTCTGGATCAAAATGGTGGCGGAATCAGCCAATTGACAGCAGCATTGCCATCCATAAAGCCATGCTAAAAATACAGAAAAGAATATAACTGTTTATCATCATTTAACTTGTTCATTGTGTGTTCAAAGAAAATTCTCCTTGTCAAGGTCTTCCACACTCATGTACAAAATTGAGTTGTTGCCATGTGATTGGCTGATAAGCTATTTGCGTTAACAAGCAATTGAACAGGTGTACCTAATAAAGTGGCCAGTGAGTGTATATTATCTTGTTTCAGATTATAGCTTATATTTTGAACAAAATGTTGTGTTGGAAGTGTACACTGAGGTGATTTTTATTAGACTAATGTATCCATGTTGTTCTTAATTTTTGTAGTAGGATTAAAGACTCTTGTCTTCGAAAGATGAATTTAAAATGACCCCATGGGAG